TCATTCCATATCTATCATTCACTTGATTTTGTTTTTTGATATTTGTTAATTAATCCATAGTGAACAGACATTTAAGTTTACCGTTTCACTCAACTATTAATATGGTATTATCAAGTTTAATACATGCCTTCTCTAGTCTAGTTTTAGATTATGCTTATTCTTATGTACTTGTGTTTTTGTTCTGTTTTAATTATTTATTTTCACATTTTAATTATTATCTTACTTTTAATTATTTTTCAAAGTTTTATACTTTATTTATATAGGAAGAAAAGACCAAAGTATATGGAAGACGGTTTATTGTAACTTACAGTTTCATATATTTCGTCCATTGCACGACATATATATATTACGAGATCTTCAAATATTTTTCTAAAGATTTTCTTGCAAAATTATGAGTTCGAATGTTTATCCAAATTGCTACATTCAAATTCCAACATTTGATATGAATAATATTCTACTAACTCCAAGAGTGTACCACGTTAACAATGAAAGCAAGTGTGATAAAATAATTATCTAACCTTAAGGATGGTTTACAAATTAATTCGTTACGAATAACTTAAAATGCAAAATATCTCTTGTTAAAATGTTGGCTTAACAAAACTAATAAAAAAATATATAAAAAATATTAAAATATCTATTTATTATTTTCATCTATATCACTTATTTTATTTACAAATATATCAAAAGGATAAGTTGGAGGAAAATATTGAAATTAAAAAGATAAAAATAAAATCGAGGTGTTAGAAATCAAACGGAAAAAATCAAGATCGAAATGTAAAAAGATAGAAACATTAGAAAAATGAGATTAAAGGTAAAATCAAAACATTAGATCAAGAGGATATTGAGAATGAACAATAAAAAATCGATAAGATACAATTGAGATTGAATGATAAAAATTAATAAGGTAAAAATTGATATTAAACGATAAAGATCAAAATGATAGAATCGAGATCGAGAGGGTAAATTGAGAAAGGGAATCGGGGTACAACGTTAAAAGATCGAAATAGTAGAATCGAAATCTAAGAGAGAGATTAAGAAAGGAAGTCGAGATCGAATGATAAAAATTGAAAGTGTTTATGAATCAATAATACTAGTAATTGAGGAACTAATAGAGAGATATTAAAAACTCGAAATCAAAGAGTATAAATGTGATCAAGATATATAAATCAAAAGGATTATAAGATTGTGACACGTGGTTTTTCATGTATGTTATGATTAATTGATTGCATGTATTGAAAATGGAAAAAATTGTCTAGTTACATGCAAAGGTCAATTTTGTCAAGGTGATCATATTAACCCAACGATCACTTTCGAAGTAATGACATCACAAAACTTTTGGATTTGACATTTATTTTTTGGTACCGCATGGTCAAATAATAATATTAATGTGTTTAATGAAGTTATGTCAGGTTTTGTACTTACGATGCACCACATTATGAATAAAACACAATATAATATGGGATATTACTTGACACTTGGTATTTATCCAAATTTTGCAATATTTATGAAAACCATTTCAATGCCACAAAGAAAAAAAAAAGAAAATTATTTGATTAATGATAAGAATAAGATAAATGTTGAATATTTGACAAACGTACCAAAATTATCAATCGCAGTAGAGTATTTCGATTAAATAAAAGTCGATCCCACGAGGAACAATTTCAATGGAAATTCCAAATCATATGTTTACTAAGTGGGTTAAAGCAAATTGGGTTTTTCATAAAGATTAGGATTGAAATTAAATAACAAATAACAATAAAATGCGTTTAGAAAATATCAAATAAAAGAACTTAGGATTGACTTCCTTTTCTCTCTTTTGCATAATGGCTAGGTTAAATTAAGAACATCAATTAACCTATCAATGTTGGTACCACCTATTCAAATCATTCACTTTGATTCCTCGCATGCGAAAATCATAAGAAAACCTTATAAAAGCCGATTCCTCACACAATTACGAGATTTTTCAACATTAGATTTAGGGTGTTAAACACTTGATACATTCTTTCCATTTCTGGTAATTAACATAACAAATATTCTTACCTGATCTAGGGTTTTAAGATATATTTTCCAATCATATCCCAAACATCAAGAATAATTCATTCCAAAGCACAAAAGATAAGAATAACAACATCAAAACATAGACTAATATCTCAAAATATCACCATGAGACAAAAGAGTTCTAAGGAAGTGCACCCAATTCTAAGATAATGAAGTTAGTCACTCATGGTGGCCATTACAATGTTCTAAAATGAGGAAGAATTGAAGAATCCTTGAAGAACATAACAGCAGTCGCGCCTCTTCTCCAAAAACCTAAAATTACATCTCAAAACACGTCTTATCTTTTTATAGGAAAATTTGGGTTGGGTCTCGCATCATTCATTCGTTTAAGTGACCAATTATTCGCTTGAGCGAAAAACGACAACTTTCGCTCAAACGAAAGATGTCCACTTGAGCGAGTAGAAACCCGAGAGTTTTGGCATATTTTCGCTCAAGCGAGAGTAAATTTCGCTCAAGCGAGAGTAAATGTCGCTTGAGCGAGTGCACACCCCAGATGTTTATCGTATTTTCGCTCAAGCGAGAATGGAAGACGGTTGAGCGAGTGAACTCCCCGAGAGCTTTAACGTATATTCGCGCAAGTAAGCGTAGATGGTGTTCGAGCGAATTTCCAGTTGAAAATTTTCTTCTTTCTTTTGCTTTTTCTTCATTTATCTTCACAATTATGATCTTTGCTCTTGTATCAATGTATTATACCAATTCATCTTACATTAGGAGAAAAATAGAATAAAATCAATAATATTTAAGTGTTTACACAACAATTAAGAACATAATTACATTAACTTTTACCACTTAACAATAAATAGGATGTTTAACGTGTATTATGAGCCCTCTAGTCTCAAATGATAATTATACATGGTGTGATACGTTTTTTAAATGCTCATATATTGAAGAACATAATTTTACATGTATCATATTACATAATATAATTGTTGAGGATGAGTCATACACTTATCAAAATTATGTTGATTATGATATTAAAAAAGATGGCATGTCCATCATTAATATATCTTGAGGTCTTAATTACAATTTTATATTTACATACTTTTAAAAAATGAAACAATTCAAGATATAAACTCTCGTCACCAACTTCAATAGATTAATTGAACATATTTGAATAAAATTTGAAAAAGAGAATAATAAAAATTAATTTTATTTCGCATTTTTTTGGTGATATTTAGTTTTCATTATTACACATCTATTTAAATATTATGTATTTTATATTATTTTAAATAAAAATATGATTTTGTGCTATTAAATTTTACATAAAAAATTAAAATTAATTACTAATTATTTAGTGAAATATTAATTTAATTTTCATACAAATTACTAATTAATTAATTTTTAATTAATAAATATTATAATAAAGTTATAAAATAATTAATTATTTAAAATTGTTTAAAACTTTTAGCGTGTAGAGTAACATTGGATTTGAGTTACTTAATGATGATTTGGCATTATGAAACTCCTTGTTCAATATTTTTTAAAAGAAAAACAACTCATATATTAGGATGAATGTGAATAATGTATTTACTCTAATATAAGTTTTACAAATTTACAACAATATATGGTCCACTTTATGGTACCTTGTGTTGGGTGACTTAAGGAAAAAAAAGTGTATTAAGATTTGACATATATAGACCTTTACATTTAAATTCAATATGTAGTCTTCCTTAAGTTATTACATATTTTTTATTTGTAAAGACACGTGTGTGATGTAAGCGAAAAATGACATATTACGCTGTTAGTTAAGTGTGATAATTTTAGATAAAATATAAGTGATTGATATAATTATTTTTAATACTAACTTATCATCTGCCTTATAATTAGAATGATAATATACTCATATAGAAAGATATAATGTTGTGGATGATAGATATAAATAATAATAAAAAAAAATGGATGATATATAATTGCAAGAGTCTAATTTAGTTTGATAATATATATATATACTTGTCCATTGAAAAGTTAAAAAGTTGAAAATAATAATAAAATTAAAATTAAATATAAATAATAAATTTTTAATTCTTCGTCTTAAAGTACACTAGAACATATTTTCATTAAAAAGTACGAAAACTAATTTGTTTAAACTTTACAATTAAACAGTTCGACACCTATTTTCAGGTGAAAAGAATTTACCATAACTGCATACACCACCCATTTGTAATTTATGAAGTACACAAACACTGTATATGAAGTGTGTATGATACTTTGAGTGAACATTTTGCAGAATTAGTTCTAAATTTATGTAGTTTATGTATGGACCATTTTTATTTTGGCAATATATAATTATATTAAGGCAAAATTAAAAATTATCTAGAAATAAATTTCTCACATTAACAGCTAAATGCAAAAAACACGTCTAATTCTTACCAACCAGATCACTTGTTACTGACAATTTAAAATTTAATTTTTAAAATAAACACATGTTTAAAATGATTTCAACTTAAAATCAGCTTTTAAACTAGAATTAATTTCTTAGTACCGAATATGAAGCCTGAGAAGAAAAAAAAAACTAATACTAATTCAGCATGAATAATCAAATGAATGTTCATCTTAAATGACATCCTCCATCCTTCATAATTTTAAATAATTTGATGTAAATCCAAACATATCCCAACACTTTAAAGGTAACACCTCTGCAAATAGAAACAATTGAACTATCCATAGTTTTCAAACTACTTATAAACTGAAGTTAATATGTTAAACATTCTCTCTATAATCAACTGTGTCTCTTAAGATTTCAAATTTTCATGTAAAACCCAGCACTGATCCTCAATGAAGACTAGAATATTCCACATAAACATGCAGTAGACAATGAATGGAAACAGATTGTTATTTTTACCCTGTATTGCATTAATTTTTCAGCTGCTGACAATTGTTCAATTCATGACACTGAACGCATTAAACATTTTTGAGTCAACATGGCACGGAAACCGATGGCATTATCTGAGCCCTTCCAGGCCAAGCCACTGACCCAAAATTTCATGAATAATTTCATAGCACTTTACTGAGCAAATGGCATCAGGTAATAAAAGAGGTAATGGATGCACTCTGCTGAAAACTGCCAGCATTCAGACAGATAACTGATCCCAGGCCAGCTAAGAATCAGTGCATTATTGATGTTCACACATTATGCAATGCTTCTTACCCCCTACCATTAAGACCTTTGCTACCCCACCCTGTGCACATTGGCCCCAGAACCTTAACTTTCACTACTGCAACCTTGTGCGCTACCAAACAAACAAGTACAAGAATTTGGTTACTACTTCACCTTTCAAATCGTGGTGGTGATACATCCATATCCTTCCTGTTCAAATCAACAACACTAAAAACTAGTACTAAAACTTTTATAAACATTTTCATTAACTTGTTGTACCCCTTCATCCCTTTTTTTTTTCTCTCTTTTTTGGGTTTCAATATACATGATTAATCGTAGGACTTGATTTTCATTTCAAAATCCTCACTGACTCACTCACTGTTCTGAGAGATTACTTCTCCAAACTTGAGGAAGAGCTGTGCATCTGAGGTGCTCATTGAGGGGCAGTTCACCAAGTGTGGAGTCTTGAGGTTTGCATACTCGTCCATGTAGCATGGCACTTTGGCAGATGGGTTTGAAGCAGGAGTTAGTGCAGCTGGTTGTTTTGGAGGGGTGTTTGATGGCACAAGGCTTCCGAGTACACGTGTTACTTCGTGCATCGTCGGCCTGTCAGCTGGCTGCTTCTTTGTGCATAATAGAGCAAGCTGATAAACCTTTTTTACAGCTCCAAGGTCCTTGCATGTGGACGTTATGTCTGGATCAACTGTTTCCATTACAGCATTGGTTGCTGCCTTGGACAAAATCTACACAAGCATGAACAATAAGTATGTGAACAAAACAGACAAGGATTAAGTATTAACAATAAGTTGAGAATGATGCTATATAACAAATCAGATTTTGAAATCGTAAAATCGTAAGGTCAACGAATGTCGAGTTCTAGAGTGTGAAATTTAAAGTTCAAAAAAAGGGATCAAACGTTCTAGCATGGCCAGTATATCCACAAAGACTAAGGATAAAGCAAAAATATATGGACAAAACATAAATGCAGTTCCAAGGATGTATTTGGTGTTGTCCTCCAAATGAAATTGAGTTTCTATCTCAGCAATCTGCTTAGTAAAAGGTTGTCATTAGATGACATCATTGATTACCAAGGAGAATAGCACCAAAAACACCTATGAAATTGTATCTAAATTTTATCCAAAAATATATATCTAAGCCCATGAAAGACCAAGACTAAGCATAGAAAACTGTGTGCACGGTCATGTGTATTGAAAATGTGCGGTAAACTCACCAGTTGGTGGAGGTTGGATTCATTGTCAACAGCTTTCCTTCCAGTTAGCAACTCAAGTAAAACGATGCCGTAACTGTACACATCAGACTTCTCAGTGAGACGGGAAGTTCTAGCATACTCAGGGTCTATGTAGCCAATTGTGCCCATTATGTAGGTAGAAGTATGCGACTTTGAGGGGCAGAGGCTTTTGGCAATGCCAAAATCAGTAAGATGGGGCTCAAAGTCTGCGTCTAATAAAATGTTTGATGATTTCACATCCCTGTGGATGATTCGAGGACTGCAATCATGATGTAGATAGGCAAGCCCTTGTGCTGCTCCAAGTGCTATTTTCAGACGCAGATCCCAGTCAAGCTTTTTCTTCTTAGTAGGTCCTGAAAAAAGATATGCAAGTAAGCCATACATAATAGAATCGTTGATGTAATGGTAAGGCTAGTAATGTTGAATGCAGATACCTACTTAACATGACAAAGCAAGGGGTAGGGTAGTACTATATGATATTATGAAACCTTCTAACAATGGTTTTATGGTTTCTTCCACTAACAATATTCATATCTTCCATATTCCCGAGCTCAAGCTCTATTTAACAAATCAAATAGAATACAATAAAAAAGGGCTCAGGAACCTTGAGCAAAAGCCAAAAATGAAACAAGAAATTTCAATACTTAACTCAGTTATACACATTGGATAACTTGCTTTGCTCATGCAGTATTCTGCTATTTGACAGAGGTCATTGTGGATAGTTCTAAATGAAGGATTCCATGCAAGTCTACTCCAATAAAAGTAACTTGAACTTACCATGAAGAAGATCCCATATACTACCATTTTCCATGTAGTCATAAAACAGAAGATGGCCATACGGAGACAAAGAGTAGCCTTGGAGACTGACTAGATTCCGGTGCTTAATGCTGCCAACAGTCTCAAGTTCAGTTTCAAATTCTTTAATGCATTGGGGATAGTGAGAATAGATCCTCTTGATAGCCACCGGCTTGCAATTCTTGAGAACACATTTATATACCGTACTTGATGCACCATATCCAATTATATACTTCTCACTTAAGTTTTCTGTCATCCTCATGATATCTTCGTACACATGAAGTGCCATATTCATATGAAGAATCACTAGTTTTGGGGGTGAGTAATTAACTGTGAATTCCATAGTTCATGAAGTCAGTAACTTTTCAAATTATGTTTCAATAGGTAGACTGAAATAAAATACTGGCAGAATATAAACCTTACAAAACCCTACGTAGTTAAAACTAGTCATGTGAACTTAAATGCATATAATTACACAATTCTGATTTTCTATAGCTGCTGGTTTATGTTTAAGTACACAGTGACTAAAGACAGTTCAATTCTACAAAAACCTTGCTTGCTCTTTGAACCTATGCTGGTTGAAGGCTACAACTTTCATTGTAAGGATGGAACAAAGATAAGTACCTGGTTTGTCAAGTGATCCATCAGGAAAAGGAGAAGGATTGTGTGGTCGGCAAGCTGCCAGCAATACCATAAGAAGAATCACAAGGGCACCAAGGGTAATTCCAAGAATGGCAGCCTTAGATAATGTAACTGCACAGTCAACAAAATATATTAGCTTATTCTGCGTAATTTAGACACTATACCCTTTTATCTCCTGAATAAAAGAATATCACGGGAAAAACACAGCGGCTCTTTTTAACCTTCTTTCCATGAATTCTGAAAGAAAAAAACAAGAAATTCCTGCAAGAAAGTTCAACTTACCCCGCTCTGAAGGATGAGAACCATGACATGGTAAATTCAGCCAATTACCACAAAGACCAGGGTTTCCAATGAAACTGCAAATAAAAGGTTGTACTTATGAATCCAGAACATGTTTATGAAATTAAAAGGTGCTAAAGACAATGTCAACAGTAAATGGCCCTCACCTGTCGGGGGGAAACCTGGTAAAGTTGTTACTCGTGGGGATAACACCATATAGTTTGTTATAGGACACATTACTAAAAATTTCACAAGAAATATTCAACTTATCAGGCCAAAATGACATGATAATTAAAAATTGAAGCTGCCGCACAAAATCATTAAAAATTGAAGGGTAAACTTACAGCAAAGAGAGACTAAGACAATTTGAAAGAGATGCGACATCACCAGTTAATTTGTTGTTTTCAAGTCTCCTGTGTATCATTTTAAAGCAAGAAAATTAGAAATATCAATGCAGTAGTACAATTACCAAAGTCCATCATATTTACATGTGAAAAACAACACAGTTAATTTGAAGCCATTAAGTCCTACTGCAAAAAATTAAAAGTCTACATTGAAGTTTGATGAAGATGAATGAGTACTCATTACTGGGCATAGTTTTTCAACTAGACAATATTAAAACCCAAACACATAAGAGAGAATTCCAATGTCATCAGTAGCATCCAACCTTGGGCATCTTTGTGAAATTAAAGACAGGGCAGCTTTAATTACAGCACGAGATATGCCATGGCCATAACAATACCATCAAGCATACATAAATTATTAACAAAAGCATGCGAGAATATGAAACAGAAATGAAAGATGCAAACAATCTTACAAGGATATCATGTTCTGAAGCTGACTAAGCTCTTCGGGAATCAGGCCAGAGAGTTGATTATTTGAAAGATCACTGTGACATAGAAGCATGTAGAATAATCACGAAAAAAAAAATAACAAAGAAATAATATTTACTTTATAAGAAATGGCTAACATTTCCATGACACTTCTAAGATTTCCAAATTCTGCTGGAATAACTCCTGTCAAATTGTTTCTGCTTAGATTCCTAACAAAATGATTATCAGCTATTAGTAAGAAGTAATAGTCCATATTGCAAACATGACTAGGCAGATAACTCACAACTTCAGAAGATGTTCCAAGTCACCAAGGGAAGAAGGAATGGATCCAACTAAATGATTGTTCGAAATATCCCTAGGGAGGAAATAATCTTTTAGAACAAATTTAAAGATGTTGGCACACAGAGATAAATAATTCGTACTTACAATGTATCCAAATTACCAATCCGTGACAGTTCAATTGGAATTGCACCCTGAAGATTGTTGGAAGAAAGATTCCTAAGGATGACCATCAAAATGTCATGAAGCAGTAAGAACCAACTAAACAAAAGGGTAATTGGTTGAAGAATGGTAGAAATCAAGATGTGCTTGCAGGTGTTCGTGTGTGCATCAACACGTTTATAGGAAAGACAGCGATAAAAGCAAAAACAACAGAATGGCTGGCCCATTCAGAAAGATGTTACTCATGTATGAAGGTCAAACTCACAAAGAGGTCATGCTCTCCAAGCTTTGCAAAGCAGGGGGAATTGTTCCATTCAACTTGTTTCCATGTACATTGCTACAAGGATAGAAAGATATGTTACCTTAATGTATTACAACATGTACATTGTAGCAAAACACTAGTGCAAGTTTAGTTGCTTACAGGCTGTTGAGATTTTTACATGAGCTAATATTACCAGGAATTGTTCCCTCGAGATTGTTATTAGCAACATTTCTGCAAGAATGCTGGATGACTCAAAAAACTTACAACAAAAACAAACAAAACAGACACTTAAGAGTAACTACTCTTACAAGTCAAACAGATCAGTTAGCTTTCCAAGCTCAGGTGGAATATGTCCACTTAAATGGTTATCATTCAGTTCTCTGCACCAGGGAAACCATTTAAGGTTAATTCTATAAACCAAATTCCATCCAGTTGAGACTGGTGAACTAACAAGTGCCTCAAGGAAGCATGTCATTTTTCATAGAAAACTTAGCTAAAACATAATGTCATATATGTAATTGAATGAATTCCTCATAGAAGTCAGAATGAATATGATAAATAATTTGAGAGGCATCCACTTGCTCAAGCGACTTACAAATAGTGAAGTTTTGTCATATTTCCAAGCTCTGGAGGGATGAAGCCAGTCAGCTTGTTTCCATGCAAGTACCTACAAACAGTTCAAAATTTGTGCTCAACACATAAGTGAGTCGGGAATCGTTCTCATAGTTGTTGATAAGAATAATTTTCTACAAAGTCAACTATTTGATATAAATGTAAACCACTTTTGCTCATACATACAATTTTTCTGTGTAGGTCAAATTTCCCAAGATAGGAGGGATTGGTCCACTTAACATGTTACAGCTCAAGTCTCTGGATAGGAAATTTGGAATAAAACCAATGTCGGAGGAGCATCAGTGAGAAAACATTTTCAATGATCAAATTTACCAAGTTACATGTTAGAAGTTACAAGCGGAAAATGCTTACAAGACAGCAAGTGCTTGCATGAGACCAATCACCGATGGAATATGCCCTGAGAGTTTATTGCCTTGCAATGACCTACCAGAGTCAATAAAATCTATCAAGAAATTTCTAGACAAGGAAAGTGAAAGACCAAATATCATGCTTACAAAAAGAACTTAAAAAAATCATGCAACACATACAAAGTTGCTATTTGCAAGAATCCAATATTGAATGGTATCTCTCCAGTTAGCTGGTTGTAGGATAAATCCCTGGCATAAACAGAAGACAATTAGAAAGGTAAAGAGAAAATAAGACCAAGGTATGGCAGAGCCTTTCAGACAATTGGATTACATACAAGACCTGGAAGGTAGTACAATTGCCTATGTTTTCTGGAATACTTCCTGTCAGGCTATTGTTTCTCACATCACTACAAAATAGTAGGAGAAAAACAATCATAAATGCAAATTTACACAGGTTTGCTTATAAAAGACGGTGATTGTGCAACTTACAAATACCACAGCCCAGTTAACTGACACATGTCTGGTGATAGTGAACCAATCAAATTGTTCCCTCTCAAGCCCCTATGAGATGGAAAGGATAGAAGGAGAAAGGTCAACAAGATTAGAAGTATGATCACGCTGATAGTCACAGAACTAAAAACTTTAGAAGTAACAATTTCGCTTGCATATTGCTTATACTCACAGATACTGCAAAACTTCGTTCCAGTATATAAGCCTTGGTATTTCACCACTAAGATTATTTTGAGCCAGGTCTCTGGAAAATATTTTCCAGAAAGTCAGTTATAGTAGTGTCATGAGGAGGGGAATTGGAAGTGATAAATGCAAGAATGACTTACAGAATCTTCAAATTAGGAATCTGAGACAAAGTTGAAGGAATTGGTCCAATCAACTGGTTGTTCTTCAGAATACTGAGATACAATATACAATTTGCATAAAGAAAAACCGGTCATAACCTCATCCAAGGATAAAATATTTCATTTGTAAGGAAATGCCATAAAAAAACTCACAGATTCTCCAGTTGTTTCAACTTAGAAATCGAAAATGGTATATCCCCTCTAATTTCATTAAATGACAAGTCCCTGAAAACACAATAAATATCAAAGTTCCAAGTAAGTCACCAGGTGGTCTAATTATAAGCTGAATTCAGTTCTTCGAGGGAGAAACATACAAGTTCTTTAAAGAAGAACAGTCACCAATTTCATCTGGCATCTGCCCTGATAACCTGTTTTCTCTCAGGTCACTGTATCAAAAAGACGAAAAAGGCATAAGCAAGGCAATACAAATGCCACAACTACATCACTGCATCAAAAAATGGCTGAAGGAGAGTAGCAATTACATAGAGACCAAACTCCGAAGTTTCCCTATTGCAGGTGAAATTTCTCCATCAAGATTCAACCCTGACAGATTGCTGCAAAAGATAAAGGGTAAGATAAGATGAAAACTGGTATAAACAATCTCCAAGGACACAGTAACTCACAGTGCAACAACATTAAATGTGACATTATCACATGTTATCCCTCTCCAGACACAATAATCTGATGATGGTGAGTCTGTCCAATCATAGAGAACATTATCCAAATCCCTGAAAGATTTCTTTATCTCCAGCAACGTTGCTCCTGCAATGGAAGTAGCCAAATTCCAAACATTAAACCATGAAGAACATAGTTAGAAGCTTGAAGTCAAGGGAAACCAATTTCGTCCATATAATAATAATAAATCGATTGTCGTGATACCATTTTGTACACACGCTAGTATATTATGCTTGATAAACCTCATATAGGCGAAAATTCATTTCTACAATGTGAACCATGCAGAAAACAAGCATAAGTAGCAGATGTAACATACTCGTTCCAAGCAATGTGAAAATAGACAACTGCATTGAAAATAATCAAAAGATCTCAAAAGCAACCAAGTCAAACTCAATATTTGTCGGAAAAAGGCGCTGACATAAAAAAATGGACCAACTGATAACAGCAAAGGAAGTGCCATGTTTAGTTGCAAAGAAAGAGAAAGAAAAAAAAAACTTGTTTCTCTAACACCCTTCACCAAGGAAAAGAAACAAGAGAGAAGAACACATGAAGGGTACTAGGCTTTCTAACAATGGCACTCACAAGTCACACACCTCTTTGTTAAGAACCACATAGATAAAACTACTTTCAACATTGTAATGCTCTCATTCTCCCTCCCCATAAAAATTGGTAGCAAAAGCCATGCCAAACAATCCAAACACACACAAACAGAAACTTGAAACCGTAAACGAAACTCACCATCATCAGATTCCACAGAGTTAACATTCAAACAAAATAGCAAAGCCAAAACAAGGACCCCAAATCGAAATGCCATGGCTGCAACTGCAGGACTTCAACTTTACACAAGCCTAACCATGAAACCACTCACAACCACCACCAAGCTCTTGTTCATGCACAAGGAACCAGAGAACAAGAACAGAACAGGGTGTTATGCTTAGTGACACTGAGCACCACTGAATTTAATTGTGGCTTGAGATGAAAAGGGTAGTTGTAAAGCGGGTTTGTTTGAGACTAGTATTTTTCTTCTGTGCACTCTTCATAGCTTTTTATGTAATTACAATTACAATTGGATTTCCATATATCAGAAGAAGTCCACAGCTTTGGCTGTGCAATCACATCGTTCTGCCACAAACATCACTCCCTAGCACAAGATGCAGGAAGAAAAAGAAAAGGGAGAGAGAGAAAAAACACACAAGAAAAAGAAGAGAGATAGAAGAAAATTATTTCACACATAAAGTTAAAACCATCTGCCACCATTTCTGCTACAAACCTGCACACTCTGCACACACACTCTCTCTCCCCCCCCCCCCCCTCCTAACTTTCTCTCTTTTTACACTTGTTTTCTCTCTCTCACCCCAAACTGTTATGCCAGTGATATGCCATATAGTAAATAAACACTGTACACTGTGCTATGCTGTGCCATTGGTTTTAACTTTTGATTCCCAGGGGTCACTTTCTGTGTGGTTTTTGCTATTGCATTATCTGCAAGAGTTTATGGGGAAATGGGTCATGTATGCAAGAACTGGGGACACTGATACAGATTTCTTGTTACATTATTTTTATTTCTTCTCACATAATTTATATTGTTTTTATCAAGTAACCGAATAATAAAAAAATCATCTTTCAATGTTTTTTTTCTTAATTACACTTTCTATCCAGTATTACAAAGATTCAATTTTTTCATCTGTCAATTTTCATAAAAATATAATTTTAGTTTTCCATATAACACTCCGCCAACAATTTCAATTGATGGGAAGATTAAAATCATTCGACTGTTATATTGTAAAACTTAATCTGCACAATTAAAATAAAAATTACACAATTAATGATAACTTTTTCTACATTTTATAATTAATAAGTTGGTATAACAGTGTGTGAATAAAAGATGTCATTTTCAACGAGTAATGCAATCCATTTGAGGTGACAGGGACATCTTTCTCTATCTGTTTTTTTTTTTTTTTCAATCTCTTGAGCATTCATTGGATTCATGTTTACGATATTATGTTATTTTTTTATTTAATTTTTTTCTTATTTATCTGATTGCTGTGTTGCCCCTCACTCTATCTCTTATCATCTCATTTATTTATCGCATTTGTTTGGTAGTTATGCTTCCTCGTATTAATTTAATTATTTATTATTCAATACCGTCTCCATGATTGCTCAAACGAACTCTCTAGTTCTTTGCTTTCTGCAAATTTTAATGTTAATTAAAAAAATAAAATCTATATATCATAAAAAGAATTGAACATAAACAATCTTGGTCCTAAAAGCAGACTATGTTGACATTGGGAAGCTAGGAAGTGGTAAAAGTTTGGAGAAAAGGTGACAAAATTTACTGCAGGTCCCCATCAAGCAATTATCTGAACAGTGACATTCAACTGTTAAAAACACACCCTCTTGTTCTTGTTTGTTGGTAATTGGTTCTGGTTCCAATTTGGAGAGAGAAACAAAGGATCATGTTCTTTTCTTATATCTGGTTTCAATTGTAAGCCAGTCACAAAATATTTGTATACTGAGTAGACCCCACACAAACTCTTTGTTTTGGTTTGAAGTTTAAAAACAAATAATTAAGCTCAATTTTAAGACAACTATTCTCCTATAATACAACCTAATAAGAATAAATGCTGTTGATTAAAAATTTAGCATTTTATTACACAGAAATGTATCAATAATAACACAATCTCTATTTTTATTGACCTCGGGAAGGTGAACTGTCTGATATCTGTGATGATGATTCCTATTTCCTGCATGCACCATGCTCCTACCTATTCTCCTCTCTCTCTCTCTCTCTCTAACAGGGTCCTTTTCACCTAATACTATTACTTATTCCCCTCTTTTTAATCCTGTTATCCAACGATTTTACCAAAACCAATATCATGAAAACAAAAAAAACATATTATACTAAAATTCCGTTATCCAACAAGACGACAACATGGGTTAAATTATTGTAAGTATTTTGTTGGGTGCCTGTAATAAGAGTGGTGGTGCATTGAATAGGTTTCTTAATCTGTGCACTGTTCCCCTTATTAAGTCATGCTCCTTATTTAGGAACAAAACCTCTCCATCCTTACGTTAGATTAGCCCTTCTACCTCCACTCCCTACGCCCATCCACCTCACTCTACCCACTTTCTTCACACACTTTCAAAAATGTTCTAAGCACGCCAACCCAAAATACTCATCTATATTAATTCACAGAAAGAAATTAAAAAATAAAAAATTAACATAAGGTTTCACATTTTAGTTTAGTTGATGATATAAAATAATTATATTTAACGATAGTTATTACATGAATTAACAAAATTTATAATATAAATAAGAGTTTGTGATCAGATTTAATTAAAAGAAAAAAATATAACTTCACTTTTAACCTAAAATTTTAAAATAATAAATTTGTAACTTTATATATATATTATTCAACGTCACTATTTCGTAGAACTTTTAAAAAAATTCTAACAATTCTTGTATTCCATTCGATTAAACACCAATTTTATTTAGGATATTTTGACTCTCATTCATTTGGTGAGTTTTTGCAAACGTGTGTATAAAATTATTATACAAATTTAACATTTTTTCTCTTCGTGGTATTTTATTGAGTTTATAATAAAATGTTGTTAATTTAAAAAAAATGATTATACCGTTTACCAATTTAAAATAATGTTTGATATGATTTTTAATATTATTATTGAAAATAAAAAGTTTATAATATGATTTTTTTTTCTATGGTTAGATGATACTGTAAAAATACTTTGCGTTATACGTGCTATCCTATTTTACGTTACGTATATTAAATGTTATAGTACAAAGTTGACATATATTAACATAAAATAACTTTTAAGATTCATAAAATAAATATAATTTATTTTTCTATCTCAAAATAAATATCAATATCTAAAAATAGTAATTTAAAATTTTGTAAGGAAAATCAAAGGAAAAAAATTTACAATAATTAAAATAAAATTTACTTATTTTATAAGGAATAAAAGTAATAAATAAAAAATATAAAGACTAAAAAAAGTAAAAATATTTTTAAGAGTCAAAAATATTTATAATTTTCAAAACTTTTTCATTATAAAAAGTATATTAATGGTGAAGAAAGTAGTGAAAGAAGTAAATTTTTAAGTTACGAATGGAGGCTAATATTGTAAAATTTTAATAATGTTAAATTTAATTTAAATTCTTAATTAATCAATTAGTTTTGAAATAGATGGGTATATTCTTTTAAAAATATTATATTCTTTCTCATTTTATTCTTCTCTTGTGTCTGCGGTGTATGTCTGATATGTAAATTCATTCTATTTAATTATATTTTTTGTGTATTCAGTTAGGTTTTTAATAAAATCAATTAAAATTAAAATTAAATTAGGTCAAAGGTTTATAAAATTCAATTTTAATAAATCCAACTAATAGATAATTAAAATACTAACTGTGAAGTACACATAAAATATGTTTATGTATTATCGTATTAATAATATTTTGATGAATATTGAGAATAAATATCTCCAACAACATATTTTATAATTAGTAAATATTAAGGTTGTAGTGAAAAATTATATTTAATTTTCCTTTTTAGATTTGATTAATGGAGCCTCAATGAATATAAAATATATATATATTAAAACATTGATATTATAACGACCCCAAATAAATATTATATAATGTAACTAAACGCAAATTAATATATAATGTATACTACACATTATAATAGGACATTTAAATATATATATATATATATATATATATATATATATAATATTTCTTTTTTATAAGAATTTAATATTCAAATAATTATTAAAAAGAAAAAATTATTTATTTTAAGAATAAGAGTTTTTCTTCTAATAATTCGCTTTTTTATAATTTAATTATCTAAAATAATAACCTATCTTAATCAAAATAATGTTTTTGATAAAATACAAAATAAGTCTTTTTTAATAACCTATCTTTTATACATATAATAAATTGAGTGTGAAATTTCTTAAAAAAAAAAAACACTAATTCAGTGACCTTGAGTAAGCGTCCAAATTGGCGTCAAAAAATATATGTGCAGAATAACAAGATTTGCAAAATTTCATAACTTATCAAGTTGATTTTAAACATATTATTTCTCTAATGAAGACCTCTTTTAACCAATTTTACCGAAATTTATCAAATTCTACGCACAAACTAACTAGACATCAAAATTTATACAACTTATTCTATTTAAAACTTCCAAAACTTGCTAATAATCCAATTTCAACAATGAGTTTCATTGATCATCAATTTCGCCGCATGTTCAAACTTAACATGCATGATTATTCTAAACCATTAGAGACAAACCCAATTTACATTTCAAATTTCATACTATAAGCAACATTCCCATCCATTTTCATTTCACTCAACTTAATTTCTCTAGTCAAAACATAATTGCACAACATTTATCATTTTAAAACACTTTCCTACAATTTAATTTATATCCTCCATATAAATCATTACCATTTATCATTTGGTAGAAACACATCAATTTACAAAAACATAAAAAGATAATGTAAAACAAAAGCAATTAGTTACGGAAAGTCACTTAAGCAACTAGCTACCATGTAAAGAAAAATATTCCATACTTAAGTGAACATCTTGTCGCCTAAGTGAAATATTTTTCAAAACTCCTGGTGTGTTTTTCATTTGAACAAAAATTTTATAATTTGAGTAAAAAAAAATTAAATAATTAAAATCTCACTTAAGTGAAAACTTAATTATGATCAACTTCTCATCTCTAAAGTACATTGCTTAAGTGATAACATCTTTTGTTTAAGTGAACAAAATTTTTGTTTAAAAGAAAATAAGGTTGAAATTATTATCTCTCTTTTATCAATCTCATAAATAAGACGATAAATAATCACTTAAACGAGAATAATCTAAGATAGAACTTTAATTGCACCTAAATTTTGGTCAAAGACAACTAATACTTCTTGTGTAAAATATGTAAAATCAAAATTTGATAACATATATTTTGTGTGGACATTTATAACTTTATTTTACATTAAAAACACTTTCTGTATGTTTTATTTTACGTTTTGAAATAATTTATTCTTAATTATAATAAATCAAGTTCAATATACATAATTATTTTAATTTTATATTTTTAGTTAATTTAATTTTTGTTTACTCTTTTGCGTATAACTCTTTTTAATATTATATTATTTTTAGTTAATTTCAGTTGAATTAAAATCTAGATTTTCAACTATTTGAAATGAGTAAATAGTTTAATAGATTTTGAGTTTTTTGTTATTTTTTTTTAATTTTTAAAGGTTGATATATATTTATTGTACATGTATTTTACGAGTTTGATATATATTTTTTTAATTAGTTTAGATTTTGTAATTAGATTTATAGACCAAATTGAAGCTTACATTTATGTCCATTTATAAAACACAAATTACAACTTATTTATAGACTTATTAAGTTTTATAAATTTATTTTTTAGTTTATAGTTTTAAATCATCTTTCTCGTTCTCCTTTTATCTCGATCTTCAGGTTATATTTTCATATTCTATTCTCTTTTGTATTTTTTTTTTCATAAATGGAAAACTAAATTTTGAAATTCAATTCAAAAAATCAAAATCATACTATCTAAATTGAGTTTTGCACGTAGTACTTAATGCTTCAAGTTTGTTCATCTTCTTTCTAAATTCATATTTACATTTTATTATATTAATTTGAGTTTCTAATTTTTAAAATTCAAAATTAGGAGTTCATTAATTGAATAACTTAAATATTGAAATTTGAATATGAACCTTTAGAGAAATATAACACAAAAGAATTGTATGAACATTTGAATACGTAGATTAATATTTTTATTTGAATTTTATTTTCTTATATTCTTTCATTATCGTATTTTAATTCATGCATTTTCAATTTTATTTGTTACGTTTCAATTTCGTGTTTGTTATTTCTTACATTTTTATTTTTGTTGGATTTTAAATCAAAATCTGCAAATTTTATAGATAAAGAAAATTAAAGATTAAATACGATAAATATATATCATTATGAAGTGAAGGTCAAGCTCCATATTGCAAATTATAAGTAATAATTGCTAAGTTGGATAAAACCTTTTTATTTCATTTCCAAACCAATTCATCATAAATTGATCAAATTCAAACCATTTAGCCAACTTAGTTTTATTCACAATATGCATGAATTAGGTCAAGAGAAAAACTAATGTAGATAAACACATTATCGTTCTAATCAAACCATCATAAAACACAATTTCAATGACTTTCATAATTTAAAGCAAACATCTACATACACAATTTAAATCATAATTTAATCTGAATACACATTTCCTGATAATCACAACATTACCAAATCACATTTCCCAAACTATCAAGTCTTTTACCTAAGAGAAATCTAGTTTCCTAAGCGTAGCTCCAAAGGAAGATTTTTACAAAAATGATCTCAAACTTGTTAATAGAAATATCTAATAATCAAACTAAACATTTTATCATGAATTTACTCCAAATGAGTCTCATGCATGAGACTTAAAGTAACATGCAAACACATAGTATGTAAGAGAAAAGGAAAAAAAAAAAAAAAACTTATTTTATTTGACATTTTGATTGGTAGGAAATAATATATTCTCTAATTCATTCTGTCCTTTACACCTTACATAACAAAACTTACTATTCAAACAAAACCAAACCAACAAGAAAATTTAAGCCATCTACTCTATTTATAGAAAACTTATTTGAAAACATAACACATCACCCATCACTTAGATTAACAAATATTAAATTTTATTAAATGAAATACCCTAACCCCACATGTAAGCTAAAAAAGAAAAAGTTAGAAAAAAATTACCTAAATCAAAATCTTGGTTGTACAATTTAATTATAAAATATTATAAATGACTTTAAAATTTAGAGAGAAATAAAGGTTATAAAGAGAACTAAACGGAAAATTTTTTTAGAAGAATAAAGATTTTATATAAATAAAAAATATTTTTATTTTATTTTTAATACTTAATAAAATCTCATATTTTTTTAATTAAATTATATTTTTCCTCAATTTCTAAAATTTGATCTTTAAAATATTTACTTATAATAATTCCTGAGATCATTTTTATAATGTAAAATAAATTTTTGATTATTTAATATGGTAAACTTTTTTATTATTCATATCTCTTATAACAACTGTTATAAGAATTAAAGAGGTAATAACACCCGTACTTAAAGTAAATACGAGACTTTTTTTAGTTAAAAAAAATTTTGATTTTACTAATGATTTTTAATTTTTCTTTTTTTAAAAAAGCAAAAACGTGTTTGATGTCACGATATAATTATAAAATTGCGTCATTTTGTACAAGTTTAGAGTCAAAATCGGTCTATGTTGCACAATTTCAGTGTATCTGTATCCTTTCTCATGAAGTCCAGTATTAAGAGTAACATCAAGAATATTGCAGGAATGTGGTAGAACATTCAATTAGGCATTCATTGGACTATTGATTTTGTGCGTAAGAAGGTAGTTTCCTCTGCTTATAAATACACATTTTTCGAATACTTATAATTACTCTCATCTTCTTTATATTTTCAGTATTCTATTTGCTTTCTTTATTTCTTTGCTGCAGCAACATTATAAAAAATGTTTGGTGAAGTATGTTGTTCTAATACTCGGAACAACTAATATGTTTCAATCTCATTTTCGTGCTATAGAAATTTCCTTATTTCATATTTCTCTAATTCCATTTGTCATTTACGAGAAACTTATGCTACTAAATATTTTTTTTTATAAAATAAAATTGTGTTTGGAAACACAATTTTAGTCAATATGTTTGTAACCATGATTTTATCTTCAAAATTGTCTCATCTAACATTATTTAACCTATTATTTAATTTATTTTAAGAAAATTTTAAAATTTTGATCCCTCTATTAAAATTATATTTTTTTTACCCATTATAGTAAAAAAAAATCAAATATGATATGGGATAAAGTAAAATAGGATGGTAAAATAAAATATAGGTAAATCTAAACTGAATAATTCTATTTAGGTTAAGTTAGAAATTAGACTAATTTCAACATGTATCTAACAATTTTTTTTTCAAACATAATATTTTTTTCGTTGACAAAGTTATCATTAAATTATAATTAAATACATATTGAGACACTTGTTTTTCTTCTTGGAACTATTAACATCTCATTTCAAATTCTTCTCCGTCAAATAGAATTTGTAAACATAACCTTTATTTATTGAAAAAGTTGTCATCGACAGTGGAGCTCCTTGAATGTAAGGAGTTACGAGGCCATTATTTTTTAATTTAATTATATATTTATCATTTTTGTCAATATTTTTTTCATAAATATTAAAATAAATCATTAAATATATCAAATAAAAAATATTTATATTCTTTTATAATTTATAACATGTTATTTATGTGGGTGAAAATCTACCACTCTATAAATAAAAAACTATCGATATATTTGTTTTCTTTCATCAAATCATAAATACATATTTACATCACTTTGTTCTATTTCCAAATTAGGTGACAATTGTATTCATCAATGTTTTAAGTTGTCAAAAGAGACAATCCAATCTAGCCTGATTTAATCCTACTGCTCAAATAAAAAATTTGATGGCCTAGTCTTATTAAGTCAACGGGCTAATGAGTCAATTTTTACCCGATTGATTTTTCTTAAAATATTGACATATTTATACAAAATCAATTAATTAAAAAAATATTTGAATAAAAAATAAAAAATATTTTGAAATTTTAATTTTTATTAAAAAAATTAGTTTTTGTTTAATATATAATGATTTAATATATAAATTATAAAAGAATGTATTCATTCTATCTTAAAATAAGAATTAAAAACTTACTTTTTATTATCATTATTTATTTTTAATAATTTAATTTAAAATAGTAATTAATTTTAATCATTAGATCTTGAAATAACTATTGGAGATTTATTCTGATATTTATTCTTAAAATAAGTAAATCCACGACAAATTAATTTATAATATATATTAATATTACTTCTATTTT